CCAGGGTGACACTGCTCCAACTTGGCGTGGGGCTCAATCATTCCAGTTACAACGGTAGCCTGACTCGAAATACGCCACCCTAGCGTGCCGGAACGAACGCTATTGTAGAATTCGAGGGAATGGATCGGTGGATGAAGATTTTGGAGGAAAAAGAAATGTCCAATAAAACTCACTTCTTTGAATATTTTTGGCTAAGGCTTCATCGTTGTGCTTTTCCGGCAACCCTACAGCGTATCCCTACCAGTCGGAATGAGCCCACCCCGCTCAAAGGAGGGGCAGTCGCAGTGGCAGGAAAAAAACATAACTCGAGCACAGAGTGGCGGTCCAGTCACAGAGGGGTCATGAGGTCCATCCTTGTCGAGAAAATGGGTACAGTACTTGTACAGCGGAAATAGCTTTGCGCGATACGACCTGCAAGACATTCGGGCTTCGATCGAACTTGGTTCATCCCAAACTGATACAAGGGATATTCCACTTTGATTAGGTTCCAGTCAAACGGCACAGAGTGAATGAGCCGGATCGCGAAGGTTGATGTCTGACCTTGGCCTCACGGGCGACCGTCGCCAGCAAGTTTTTCACTACCGCTGGGCTGGTACAGTGACACGGTGAAGTAAGCACTCGGCTTCCTTGGCAATGTGTCTGCTTTCTGCACTTTCCGGTCACGATACAATATCATTCCAAGACATATCCCGGCGGCCAATCAAAGGCAAGCCGGGCGCTGTACCATACTCGTACAGCTCTAGTACAGGGCGCAAGTATTGTTCGGGGTTGTAGGTGGGCGTAGGGAGATTGTAGCTGATCCTGGAAGTTGCGGGGGTCGGTGGATGGTTGAGGAGTGTGATGTATTCGAGTACGGAGTAGATTCTCCAGACACCCCTTTCCTCTATCATCACAGCAGTGTACGGAGGAATGGGGACATACGTGGAGACACAGAGATGGATGTGGTGGTTCACGGAAGGATCAGGATGCCCTAGCCATGTTTTATTTATACACTCGTCGTTACCGTTAGCTTAGTTTGAGATGGAGAGGCATGGTAAAAGCCAAGAGCGAAGTCGTTGATCACACCTCACCTACCTCTCCCACACCGTACGCAAGTTCCGAGCAAATCCTCCCATTCGACTCGTACCATCTACCGCCGTGCGATCGATCTCCCACCTCAATCCACCTTCACGAGCATAAGTACCGTACGATAACATCGCCGTCACTCTCTCTCTAAGGCTGAAAATTCCGTCGGGGAATGGAGTTAATTTCCTAGAACGGAAAAAGTAATTGAAAGTGCACTGTGCTGGCAGTCATCAATATGCAAGCCTACTTCCCCACTCGATGTAACCCATATATTGCTATATTCAGAAGGGGGGGGTACCCAGGATTTACCTTGAGAAATATTGCGGGTAGAACCGACATGTTGGACAGCATTTCGGGGTATGGTCAGGACAGTGAAGGGCGTCAGTATATCACTCGTTCATGATCCCTCCGTGAAGCGGGGTCGCTCCGGATCATCGGGTAAGAACTGGGCATTGTATGACTGACTGCTCCCAACGAGGAGGAATGATAGGCCGGTATTATTACATGACAGAGCATAATTACAGGAATAGTAATCTACAAGTACAGTACTCGTCTGTCTTTGCCAAGAATACCTGGGCCAGCTGATGCTTTGCTGGGGTCCTCACCAAATATTCGGCTGAAGGAAGTATTCTTGGCGAATACCAGTGAGTGCAAGTACAAGTGCGGTACTACCCTTTAAAAAATTTTTAACCCTGGCTGAGCCCCCAATCCATTGCTGTCCCCAATTGTCTTTCTCTTGCTAAGTGAATTAAGTTGCCCCCGCCATGGTCGGACAGCTTAAGCAGCGCTTACACCAGCCAAACAGGCACCGAATCCCGGATATAGCCAAAAACCGGTACCGCAGACGGATGCAAAGAATGGACAACTCCTCGTATACCAGACAAAGACAGGTCACTAAACAACCAAAACCGGTCAGCGAAAACCCACCTTGTCCTACAAACTACCCAACCAAAGCACCCCAGGTTTCACGTCAAAAGCCGTGCACTTGTTTCCGTGCATATCCGAGAAATGCTACGGACACAAAGTAAAACACCCACTCATGAGGTCCCATAAACAGACATAGTATCGCCAACCCCCCCCCCCCCCCGCCCCCAATTGAGCGGACCTATGTCCTCAATTAAATACCTGTAAAACATAAATGGCAATGGTACCGATAACACTCACGATAGCTCGTACTTCGTGGTACCATATTGACACAGAGTGAGAGAAGGGATGACGTTTTCTTGTCCGGATTGGTCGCTGTGAGGACATATCCGGTCGTTGGCCAGCGATACAGTGACAAGATCGTTGTCTATACTTGTTGAAAATACCTTTCATTCAGACAATTGCACTTGCGATAGAGTTGGTAGTCAGAAATGATCAGGTGCAGACTCACAGTTAACTCAAGACTTAAAAATATTACACTCCAAGCTTGCACTATCCTTCCGAACAAATGGAAGATTGGAGAAAATCCTGCACGATATCGAGAAATCCCCTTGACCTGCACATGCATCTGAACGCCCCCAGGCAACAAACCTGGGTCCTTCCCATTTCGGCCAATCTTTTTTCCCCACTGCCCTCATAAGCCATACAGCGTACCACACTGTACAGCACGAGCCCTGGGCTCCTGCAACGGCAGAGATATATTAATATCTTGCCTCATTGTGGGAGCGTGTACTTGTACAACGAACCTCCTCGGTGGTTAAGTGCAGCCGAGTGAAAAGCTTGAATTGAGTGAGTGATTTGGGATTGAGACGTTGGTCAAATGATATCGAGTTCGGTTTTTTTTCCCCAACCGATCAGATGGAACAGCGAGCAATTCCGAGACATGGCGGCTTGGATTGAAAAGCCCTATGTCCCATAGATGGAATACTCGACCAGCCCCAAACAACAAAGACGTAAACGAAATAAGCCTCCCAAAACTCATTGCGGACATTTTGCCGAAGTACCCGCCGGGGCGGCAAGCTACGAGAAACATCAATTTCTAGTATTCCGTTCCCCCCCCCGCGCTTGTTTCGGCGGGTATTGTGTGATGTCCGCTTTCCGTATACCCCAATGAAAAGCGTAGTAGAAACGACAGACACAACAACCCACGATTCACCGATCCGAGAGGCCTCTGCTTACTCCGAGGACTATCGGAGTATCGTAGGATCCCAACCTCTTTTCTGCGCTGTAGGTCGTGGCTGGTTCTCGAACTCTGGCGGGGTGACGTAGCTACTACGCATGGAGTTAGAATTCCCACAACTGCCGTAAAGGAATTCACTTTGCTTCACTTTTTTCCCGACTCGTGCCGGAGTCAGAAGGGGGAAGAGGGGGAGAAAGAGACAGAAGCTGAAAAGCTCCCCACCCCTTCCCCACCGGGCCCTCACAGGCACTTTCGGGATGTTTAACTACACCTCCGGCCCCGATGTGGTGATAGTGCAAAAGAAGGAGTGTCTAGAAACTAGATTTCGCACCAGTACGAGGACAATGAATAATGCCACCTCACTTGCGCATGACACTTGTACAAGTACTCTACTCTACATGGTTATGTTCCATGTACCACGTACAAGTACTGTACCGCGAAGACTCGCTCTTCATGAGCTGGCCTGGACTGTAGGGCTTTTCGGGGTCTCTGGTACTGGAAAAGCTAAGCCTCTGAGAATTTTAGCAAGAGAAGAGGTGTTTGGCTTGTCATTGATTTGCGGCCGATTGTGAACTATCCTAGCCCAGGCCAGTTCATTGGGGCCGGGTTTTTGCGGTACCGGGGATAACACTACCGTAAAAACAAAACAAGGAAAAATTGGACCTCAGTCTAGGACTTTGGAGCTACCTCTCCTAGTAATTGTGGTCGACTGTATGATATTTTTATTTTATTTGTCTTAGCTGAGGGCTGAAAGATATATTATTTCTCTGTGTTACTCCCTCTAATCCAAAGGAAGAAATTCCGGACGTCTTAGCGCAAGGTCCAATTATTCCGGTTTTCACAGTACTTGTACTGTACCGCCGTGTGCCGTTCTGATAGTCCACAAGTACTCAAGTGACTTCAACAGGTCGAGCCCAAGTAATCTAGAACCAACGGGGCGCCCCTACCGCAGCGCAGCCGTTTGCACGGAGAGAAAGAGTTGGGGCTATGAAGGGTGCGTGTGGGTGGGGTGGGTGTGGGGTTGGTTACATGACCGGATGGAGAAATTCCTTGTCTCTCGTATCCATAGGGCAGGTTGAAGGTGAAGTTTTCAACCATCTGGCAGTTGGGCTATTGGTGTCGTAGGTTCGAGAAGTGACTGGGTAGGGTAAATTCCGACAGTAAGGACAACAACGAGCAGAGGGGGGCGGACCTTCGAACGATTGCACGAGGGATCTGGTGATGGAACATCACTCTTGGTATCATAAGGCTGTTTGTTGTAAGTTACCCCTCGTGTTCATTCGCTTCCCTACCGGTGGCACGTTATGGCTCACCTTGGTGCCTACGAGCACGATAGAGGGCCATTTTTGGAAGATTTGAGAGTTCTTGTGTTATATTACAGAAAAGAAAGGGTAACATTAGAATTCGTGAGGGGTTTTCTTTTTTGTTTAAAAAGAAAAGAAAAAAAGGAATCACGAAGGGCTAAAATTAGAGGCTGATCGTATGGATTGGGGGAGGGAGGAAGCAGGATTGAGATTCGGTGAGTACGGAACAGGGGATAGAGGTGGAGTTGCTGTCTAGCTATTGAAAGGTTCGTGTGGTGCGGTAGCCTTGGGCAGAGCGCAAGTACTATCGGCAAAGGGTCATGACTGAGGCGGTGAATTAGTGGGTAATACGAGACAAGGTGAGGATGGTGGAGGGGGGGGGGTGGATCGGACGATAGTCTGTCTACAGCTCCAGCTCAGGCTCCCTCTAAGACTAATACCTACGATACTCCACAATCCGAATGTAGCTCCCCCGAGAATATAAAAACCCCCCTCTACCTCCCTACTTCTCCTCCAATTCCTCATCAGCACGATTTCCAGGGAAGCGCACACAAGCCAAATCACAAGCCATTCACTTGCCTCGTTCGATTCGATCTTTCATCTTCCTTATAAACCAGCCAAAGAAGCCTATCACACCTTCTCACACAACCCAAACTCTAAACGAAAATGCAGCTCACTACCTACATCTTCGCGACCTTCGCTATCGTCTCCGCTGCATTGGCGGTCCCCGTTGACAACCTGGTCGAGCGTGATACCAAGTACTGCGGTTACCAGCCGTACGAACCTTCAAAGGTACCTCACCTCTCTCACCCCCCCCCTCCTTCCTCTGTTTTTTCCTCCCAATCACGCTTCGTACGAGTGAATCACTGTGACTAAAGAAATATATAATAGTACACCTGCTACGATGGCCTCCTCTGCCCTATCCAGAACTACGTTGTCTACAAGAGGTGCGGGGGTGATTGCTACGACCCGGCCAAGTACGTCTGCCACGGCACCAAGATGTGCCCAACTACCGACCCCAACCTTTGCGGCGATGCTTGCTACAACTCTTCCCGCTACAAATGCGAGTATGGACGTTTGGTCCAGGTTTAAGCACCCTTGGCCATGACCGGCAACGCCGAGGTGGGGGGGGAGAAGAGGGGGAATGGAAGGAGGATCGTGGGTACACTAAACGGATCCAAGCAATCTTGAGATCGCGCAATTTATATCTAGTGTTTTTTTCTTATGTTGGAAATAAGGGACGGGTGGTGATATGTGTTTGCGGGAGAGCTGTGGGCTGGGGGTTTACGTCTTTCGTTGGAAACTTCATTGTATTGGACATGCTTCCTCGCTTACCTTTTGTTTTTTTTTGGAAAGCGGCCATTACCAATCAGTAACGAAGCACGGATGATGAGGGGTTTAATGAATTAATTGATGATTTATACCGAGTCTTTTGTTCCGCTTTCAGTGATATTTTCGAGTGGCGAGGCACTATTATGGAGAAACCATTGGCAATTAGGATATTCACCTCCGCGATATTACACCAAGAGCCCAATTTCCAAAACATGGCAGCAACTCACCCTAGCCACCAGAGAAGCTGAAAAAGGGTGTCGAACAATACCTCCAGGTTAATCCATTACCATACGCCCACTGCTTATCCCCAAACCCCCGCTTCGTACAAATAAGAGTGGGAACTCATCAACCAGAGCGGAATGGGACATATTTCTCTGGTGAACCTCAAATAGCAGTTCCATAACTTCTTGTGTGGGGTCTTGCACATACTTACTGTACAGTACAGTACTTCCCTAGATGTCCGACATCAGAACTCACTACCAATCCCAAAAAGGAATCATTAGACCCTATCGATAAGCAACGTCGTACCAGATAAGAGCGCATTGGACAGTAAGGACAACCCAAGACTACCTAACAACGCAACCAACCCAGGCCCAGGCAACCTTAGGACCGGTACGACCAATCCGGCCGCGCCCCTAACTCGTATAAGCGGAGAGCAAAGGGCAATTCAAATAGACATGCTACATCCTTAAACGCAAGGCTCATTTCGTTTAACAGGGGACCGTTCATTCGCCGTTCCAGAAGCCACAGTTCGGTCAGCCTTAACGATCTCGTCTCCTCCTTTGAAAAGCTATTCGGTTAGGCCGACCGACCGTTCAGTGGTTAGCCCGACGGCGCCTAGGAAATATGGTTGCGCGTGTCTAAATTGTGCACCAAATGACTCGCAACGGGGGGACGCATTTGGCAAAAAATATTAAGCAAGGAAGAAGACTAGCCTATGTTCTAATCCGGAATATGTTTGAGTTATCCCGCGTTTTTCTAATTTGGGTAGGACTAAAAACTACAGGAGAGGAGAAACTTGTATACAGAGTATGATAAGGGTAAAAAAAATATCACAGTGGCCCAGTGATCAGGCGCATTGATGGGGAAAAAACCACGATATGAAGTGGGAAATGGACTCGGACCTGTTTTTTCTCCGGACGATTTCAATCAAGTTTATTATCCTGACACCGGAGCGTAGGATTTAATTCCAAGGCGTCCCCCGCTGCAAATTATTAGGTGCACACTCCAGACGCCCGGAACCATAGGATGAAAACACGAACATAGATTGAAATTTCCAATTAGATAATAACTGCAATAACATATTTATACCCGTACAACGAATTTTATTAGGACGGACGGAATCAGGAATCAGGGAGGAAAGACGGAAGGAAAGGAAAGACAGCGATGTCCACGAGATTGCTGTACATTGCGAGGAGGGAGGTGAGAGTTGTGAAGTATATGGGGCAAGTATCTGAATGCCGGTATATTCACTTGTATTCAAGAGCAACAGAGATAGTGACAAAATATGAGTAGGGATTGATCTCGTTCAACAGGTGAAGAAATGCGTATGTCTGTCTGTATGCGGATGATCAACCAAAAGGAAGGGCAAAGTACTAGTTCTTGTATAGAGAGACTCAGCGAATATGAGGGGGACATGAAAAAGAAAGAGTAATGTAATGAAATATGGGGGGTCCACTACAATCCCAAATCCTTAAAAAAATACTACTATTTACAAAGCCAGTATAGATAATTAGTGTCTACTGCCAACCCGTTCCATCTCTAACGTCACCATATTTGCACAATCTAAATCAGGTAGGCATGTGAGTGTTCCAAACAGTGAAGATTTCCGGTCAGGACACCGAAACACTGGGCTAGACATCGCAAGTTTCGACAAAAGAGGCCCCGGGGGAGGAGAAGCCGGGAGCATATATGGGGATGTTTGCGAGGATGCTAGAGAGGGGTGCATAGCGGGTTTTGAGCATGATAGGAGAGGTTTTATGTCAGGTTAAACCGCGTTGGAGCCCGGGGACTTTCGGGCTTGCAGTAGCTTCACCACTTCACTGCGCCCAGTCCAAGCGGCAAACGAGAGTTGTGTCAAGCCATGATTGTCTGGCATATTGGGGTCGACGTCTTCCCGCTCCAATGATAGCTTCACTACTTTGTTACGCCCACCCCCGGCAGCATACAAGAGCGGCGTCTGGCCACCATCGTCTGGCATATCGGGGTTGACGTCTTCCCGTCCCAATGGTGACTTCACTACTGCGCCATGCCCTTTCCTAGCAGCCAATAAGAGCGGTGTTTGGCAGTATCCGCTCACCGTGTCGGATCCGGTATCCTTGCTTCCCAATAGGAACCCCAGAACCTCCGAGTACCCGCAACCAGCAGCCGAGAAGAGCGGTGTTTCACCGCTTTTGTCGGGTCTATCGAGGTTGACATCCCCCCGCTCCACTAGTAGCTTCAAAATTGCCTCCTGCCTTCTTCTGGAAGCCAATAAGAGAGGGGTCCGGCCATATCCGTCTGCCGCATCGGGTTTGACATCCTTTCTTCCTAATAGTAGCCCCAACACCCCTGAGTGCCCCTCTTCGGAAGCCAATGACAGTGGCGTTTGACCATATTTGTCTGGCCAATTGGGGTTGACATATCTCTTCCACGGGACCATATTCATCACTCGGGGCGCCCCAGCCCACCAGCTACCTGTCCCATCGTGCTTGGCAGATGTGCGGCCAAGAAGTATCCTCATAATTCCCTCATATCCCTTCTCCGCAGCCCATGAGAGCGCTGTTCGACGAAACAATTTATCAGGTTTGTCGGGGATAATAGTCTGCTGTTCTAAGAGTAGCTTTGCTACCAGCTCCTGCCCACATATGGTAGCCCATATGAGCGATGTGATACCCAGGAAGTCCCTTTTGTTGAGATCGTAAGTTGGCTGGCCCACAAGAGTATTTGCGATTTCAACAATGCCGAAAACTGATGCACAATGGAGTCCTGTATACCCAACTAGGTGGCCATTGGTTGGGATATCACGGTTATATCGACCGGCCCTCGATACGATATCCAAAAAAAGTAACTTTGTAGATATATGCGTTTCAATTTGGCTAAAAAGTGTGAGCGCAAGTAATATCACGTCCCTTGGGGTATCTCTCCTAGCGTGGACCCCCCAATATATGGAAGAATATTCGAGGAAGGGAGTTGACTGAGGGGGGGGCATATACTGTGGGCGAAATCTCCCTGATAGTTCGAAAGTTGAGGTATGTTAGGCAGGTTTCGGCCATTATCGAGTGAGCAGCACCAAAAAGGTCAGGGCGGGTGTAAAGGTACTCCTGGAGAGTAAAGTGGATCAAGCGAACAATCGAAGCTTCCTTGTCGATGACGACAAGCCCTAAGCAATAACTCAACAATGTCTCCACCGAAGGAATCGTTCCGGAATCGAGATCCGTAGATCCTATATCGACCGCAAGGGCGTGTAAAAGCTCATCTAGTAATGGTCGCTCCGCATAAGAGATCCACATCAGTGCCCCTATCCCGAGCCTTCTCTTCTCCCCACCAAACTCCTTTATTCGTTCCAGAGTCACACCGTAAACATCCTTCAAATCCAAGCCATCGGTCATCGCCCTGAGTTTTCGCCGCCTACCATAGGCTGTAGGTTTGCCAAGGATAGCATCGACGGTCAGTGAAATCAGTAGAAATCTTGATGTGTTTGTTAGTGACCAATTGAAAATATATTTTTCCATTAGGCTGCTAACTTACGTTTCGGGGATATTCTCGATAATGCTTTTGATGATTTCCGCCTCCAGACCAGAATCCATCGCATCTAAAGATGTGTCCTTACTCAATCTCATCCGAATATACCCCACGATATCATCGTTGTTGGGTTTTATGGACAAAACTAGCGCTTTCCCTCCCAGATATCTCACAATCTCACGTCGGATGTGCGGTCTTCCGGTTATGAATACTCGCGTGTTTAGGGACTTCTCGAGGATTTGTCTTAACGAATCCAAAACCTCAGGTCGATGCCCTTCCACACACTCACCCAGTGCAACAATACATATAAATGTCGGCCGTAGAGATGTCGCAGCCTGCAGCATCTTGACAATTTCTGGCGCCCGCAGTCCTCTTCTACCTATGACCTTTTTGTAATCTTGAAAGGTCCGGCTTATCTCATCCGGTATCCTTTCCAATCCGCCGACAATCTGTTTCAGTAGTGAACCAAGAATGTTTGTTGGGGTCTGCTCCTCTCGCGCTGCGAAATCAACGTAGAAACAGGCAACCGCTATATTTTGCTCCTTGGCCTTATCGCATAAGGTGTCTACCACCAGCGAACTAGTATCGCTAGTCATCAGCACAACCACACTTCAGCTTTTTCTCCCAGAATTTTCGCTCACGTGAAGTAGGTCTTGCCGACAGCCGGGTCGCCGCGGCAAAATAGAGTCGCATACTCTGGTCCTTCGTGTCGAGTGCCAGAGCACCATCTTCTAAATTCATCGGTTCGCAACAGCCATCCCCCCACGTTATCGGCCCGGCGGGTTCGGATGTCTTGATGTCAGATGCGGGGTTCAAGTGGAGAGAGCCATGCTAGGACTTCAGAACGGTCATCGGAAAGGGTGTAGTGATTCGACACATTCGACACATTCGACACATTGAAAGAGTTGATGTTATCTGTGAAAGGTCTAGACATATTCTCCCTTTCGTTGCTTCAAATGCTAAGTGGAACGGTTCCGCAAGAGGGGTTGTTGATGGGGTTCCCAGAAGCTGAAGAAAAGCGGGGACTGTTGCCCGGCCCCACGCGCTGTTAGCAACGGTCGGGGCGTGAAGGTTTCATTACTGCTACGGCATACCACTCTTGAGTTAGGGATTGAGTCGGCATTTGTATGATATATAGAAAATGATGTCCATGCTGCTTTCAGTGGTTCTATGGATAGTCCGCATTTTTGCGAATTTTCTCCCGCGCGATCTCTTGGTGTGAAACCTTCCATTTTTGCGGTAAAATGGCGCCTGCCTACTCACTTCCTCGGTCGCACTTTTAAGGTTAAGCATAAATTTAGATGTTGCGACCGACGCTAAGTTAAGGCTGAGTTCGGTTATGATAACAAGGGAGGTTTCATTCGCCCTTCCAG